TGTCCAAAGATGGACTTCACTCCTCAGAGAGAGACAGAACCATCCGCTCAGCCGAACAGACAAAAGACAACTAGTTATTGTTAACTGTTCTGAACAGAAAAAATTAGTTTCTTGAGAGGGAAAGACTGAGGTGAGAAAGTAAACAATGTTCCTTTCTCACAAGAGCTGCGCCAGCTGTCTTGTTGTTTATCAGCAAAAGGACCTTGAAAGTCTGGCAAAAGGCAGACTTACTGTCTTTCTTAAAAATCACTTCTCCTAAGCTTAGAAATCACACCACACTTTGCACAAATGGATTAATAATGAAATTAATGGTACACAATTATTAATCTTTAAACCAATTTAAAAAAATGATAAACCATGATTAATAACAGTACTAAGAAAAAACATTAAAGTACATTTCAACTCTTTTTTCTTCACAGTGTTATACTTCTGGAATAAAGAGATGCAAAGATTAATTCAATAAAACTTTGAGTAATGATATATTGATTATAACCTCTAATAGAAGATTAAATGAGATAACATATATATAGGACTTATTGTCCTATTCACTTAAAGAAAATAAAAACACTTTAAAATGATATTCTTCTTATAAGTGTAAAAAATAAAATCAAAGACAAAAATTGAAATGAATATTTCACCAGGGTTACCCCTACACTGCCACCACCATGTTTCACAGTGGACGATGTGCAGTGCTTAGTGTTTTACATTTTGGTCAAAAACATTCACTTTTGGTCCATCCTAAGCAGAGTTTCTTTCTCCACATTTGCTGTGTCCCTACATGGCTATGCATGTGAGTCAGACATGTCTGTATGCTAATGATTCAGCTCTGGACACATTAGTATTTAATTCAATGTTAAATTCTGTGATGGGCATGGCTCCACTAATCAGCTAATAGTGGAGCTCATTTTTAGGCCGTGTCCAAATCCAGAGGCTGTGTCCTCCGAAGGCTGAAACCATCGACTGCTTGTGTCACAGCGCTGCGCCGGAGGTTGTCCAAATTTGAAGACTCGTCAAATGCATCCTTCTTTTGCCCCGATTTTAAGGACGGGTCCAACGGATCCTTCTCTGCTCACCATATCCCATAATGCTAGTAATGGTGGACAAAGCTAGAGAAAGGGATACAGTTTAAATAAAAATCTGGTGATATAAAAGTTAAAAATTTAAAGCTGTTATGTTGTTAATGCTTTTGTCATGACGTGTTTTTAAATATTATTTTTGTCAGTTCAAATGAGTGAATTAACCATGCACCTGTCCCTGTGTTCTTCAAATGTTGCCTTTAAGCTAATTTTATTGTTTGTGATATTAATAACACTAATATATTGATATTTTTCTAAATTCGATCTCTGCTTCTGTTTAGCGTTGTAACGGTTGTTAGCTGACAGGACGAATGCAGGGGTAAGGACCGAAGGCTAGAGCGTCAAAATTCACAACCACTTTTTTGTGGTCTTCTCAGTCTACCAAGGACCCGGCCCGCCTAGACCAGGTAGGCCGGGTCCTTTAGAGCAGTGGTTCCCAAAGTTGGGGTCGGGACCCACAGTGGGGGTCCTGAAACATTAAGGTGGGGTCCTGAAAAGATTTTCTGAATTAATTACACTAAAAAAATGACAATTTTTTGCCTTTGTTGTTACAAAACAATAAGATTAGTGTACTTRAAATTGACAAAAAATAGCGTAATAAATATTGTTATATGCTCTTGTTTATTTGACGTGAAAACACAGACAACAGCTGGGGGCTCAGGTCTCTGCTGCTGCTAATTTATGGGTCAAAAGCTGAAAAGTTTGGGAACCACTGCTTTAGAGGACCCAGCCTCTGAATTTGAACAAGTCTTAGAGGATTAGATTTTTTCACTAACTTTAAAAACCGTTAGCAGACCAATTAGGTTTTGCTAACTTTAAGTCTGCTAACAGCTAACTAACAAGCTAACATCAACAGGTTTGTGTCAGTCTCACCAGTCTGTAGCTGGAAGGAGACAAAGACATGACGCAGAATGAATGACACGATTAGTGTTTAACTGTTAGTGTTTCTATTTTTTGCTTGTTTAGCTGTTTAGCGTTTGCGAAGCTTTATTTTTAGTTAGCAGATTATGAGTTAGCGTAGGGCACAGTGCATGGACAGGAAGTGATTATGTACTGGTGTTTCTACCAACTGGAGTGAATTGGTTACATGTTAACACATACAAATGTGTATGAATTTATTAAATCAGAATCAACTTTATTGTCATTCACACAACATCAAAGATGCAATGCAGAATTGCAGTTTAGAACATCCGCTCAGAGAAAGATACTCATAACAAACATGGGGGAACGAATGTCCAAGGTCTTTCGCAACGATGGTCACGCTACTTTTTGCAGCTTGGAATACACACAATAGGAAAAATGAGTTAAAAATGCTCTGTTCCTATTTTTACAGAGAAACACAGAATCGTACGCTCAAAAATCCACTCGCTCAGTGCAAGGCAGCTAAGGAGGGGATGGGGGTGGGGGTCAAACACATGGTATGGGGTGGGGTTCAGCAGAGCCAATGACGTTTCAGGTTAGTAGTTCCATGTTGGAACCAATCAAAGACCTCCAGAGTCCAAAACAAGTCGTTGTCAACCAAAGCACAAATCACCAGAGTCAGACGGATCCACCCACGGATGATATGGATAGGGGATGGGGAGTCAAGCCTCTGTCTCACGTGTCAACCAGGCAGTTTTGATAACTGCCAAGCCAAGGTCAGCAGCTGCAGGGATCTAAAAGATAAACATAATTGTTTTGGGACAAGCAGCCTTGATTTTTTTCTCTGCTTTAAGTCTGTAACTGCATCTCTGTGATGGTGAAAAAGCCAGTGCTCTGAATTTCAATTACCTCCTCGCCTCTCTTTCCATCTGAAACTTCACCCAGGTATAATCTTACTCCTCACGGGCACGTTTCTGAACTGTGATTCTCATCAGAATATCGTCCAGTTTGCGACTTATACCCCCCAACATCAGAGTCTGTGCATTTCCAGTACAGGAGACTCAATCCAAGGTTCCTGACAGCTTCTCACAGGCTCGGACTGCTGTCAGGATGGCTTTCATTTCCCAAAAAGCCAGGACTCCTCCACAGCCGATCAGCAGAAATCCAGTTATCATAAATCCAAATATGTACAAATCTTCCACTTCTTCAATGGAAAGCAGCGCTAMACAGATCAGGTTCCACCCCCAGGAACCAGACACTCGCCCAGCCACCACCATTCCACTGGGACAGCTGTGCTCCCCTCGCTCCAATCTCAGTGTGGAAAAATAGTGTTGATTGTGTTCAGAGACCAGTTGACCAAATCCACAATTCCTTTTGTTTTCGGATGATAGGTAGAAGAAAGTCTTGAAAAAGCTGCAAAGCAGGGAAGGAGGGACAGGTTCGGGAGAGAGAGCAAAAAGCATCTGACTCCTCTGTGGGAGCTGGTTGATTCTGTTTGGAATGCAGACTGCCCTCTTTGGAGAAAGGTAGTAAATGCTGAAAATTATGTTGTTTCTCTGAGTTTTTGCATTTTGAGATCTCTTCTGTTTAGTTTCATTTTTGTAACCACTTACAATATCTCATCCGCCCAGGTCATTCCTCACTCACCTGCAGTCAGTTTGATTTCATGCCATCTGGCTCTTCTCCATGCTTGTTGTGTTCTTATTGTTACTTTTGTATTTTGCTGCCACACCAGCTTCTTACCTCCATCAAGGAGGACACATGGTTTTCTGATAGCTTTTGTTTCTTTGTTTGTCCATCTGTGCACAAGATCACTCAAAAACTTGTGGATGCATTTTCATGACATTTTCAAGGCGTGCTGGGGCCTTCACAGAGAACAACTCATTAAATAGTGGCAGAAGACTGGTAACATCTGCCAGAGCCAATCAGCATCCAGCAGAACTTTGTTCCATCAATCAGAGCTCATTAGCTGCACACTCTCATTTGCATAACCAAAGTAGTGCTTCCTCTACACTACTGACCTTGGCAGGGTACTTCTTGGATGGTTTTTTTTTTTTGAGAAAGTGGCACGATACGTTACTAATGCTACGTTGTATTCACTTATCCTGTGGCTACAATCTCTGCTCCCCATCCATAAGTAGCAGAACTTTTGGCAGTGGTGAAAGGGTTGGTCAATTTTTTTTTAGCCAGGGTGCTTGGTTCTGTTGACAGAGCAGGGTGCCCTACTTCGACAGTCGTAGAGGAAACACAGCTAGGGTATTGGCTGACGTGTTATTTTAGTTTGTTTATTCTATTAAACCTTAATTCTTTTCACAGAGACTTTGTGTCAGTCTACATCCTTGGTTCCACCCTCAACTAAACTGTGACAAAACTGTTCTTCCATGTCACAATWATGTTCAACTTTGTGTTGGTCTATAAAATCCTAGCTTTTGGTGGTAAAATATGAAAAAAATCAAGGCATATGAAGACCTTTTCAAGGTACTATAGATGAGCCCATCTAATTCAGAACTTTACGTCTGTGTATCCATGACTGCAGTCTTGGAGAAAGCTTTGGTGAAGTCTCTTTGGCATCTTGACAACTTCCTGCGGACTCTACTATCTGAAGAGATCGATGCTGATGCGTCAGGAGACCTCCCCGAGTCCTCCAGGAGTTTCCTGGATGGGCCGGAGCTCACTCTGGCTGATTGTAACCTGCTACCGAAGCTACACATACTGAAGGTACAGTCACACCAAGTTTTCATCGAAATTATGTGCACAGCTAAAAATGACAAACCAACTTTTATGTAATTTGTTTTCCAAGGTTGTAGCCAAGAAGTACCGTGGCTTTGAGATCCCATCAGATATGACAGGAGTGTGGAGATACCTGAACTGTGCCTACCAGAGGGAGGAGTTCACCAGCACCTGTCCTGCGGAGAGGGAGACTGAGTTAGCCTATCTGAATGTGGCAAAACCAATCAAATAGGACCACGATTAGACAAATGGAGAAAATATACATGAATAAATTCATAAACAGGGGATAACAAATAATAAGATACCCAAAAAAATAATACAAATGCCAGTAAGATATTTTCAAAATTGCKAATTTTACACAAAAGGAAACAAGAGTTAAGCCTGTTTTTCACAGTTTGCAGCTTGTTAGACTGAAAACTGCAAGAAAATGTGCTCATTTTTCACTTAGAATCAAACTAAATTTACATACTTGTGACTATGCATGGTTTCACAGTATCATGATTACATCTCTRAAAAGTTTTATTTTTTGTGTTTGTTGCATGATGGTTGCGTAAACTCTGAACACAATTTTTTTTCTTCAAAGTTTTTTTTTATTAGTTTTTAACAAAAACACAAACAAAAAAACAAACTAACAGAAAAACACACCCCTAAAAACCCTCCCATCCCTCCCCACCTATACCGGAT